TCGGTTTGAGGAGTAACAAGGAGCCACAGCGGCTCCCCAGGTTCCTCCCGCAACGCAGCACACCGCGTCCGTCCCCCGAAAGGGGAACAAAACAAGTGCCAGTTTTTAAAAGACTCCATACATTTGCAGTGACAAATCACACTCCTCCAAAGGAGGGGGTGGGGGATTTAAAGAACCTGTAAATAAAATCTGGGTGCGGAAGACCCCCGGTACAGCTGTCTCTCCCGGCGACAGTCACTCCCCGGCTGTCTCGTCGCTCTCGCAAGGACGCACGTTCCTGCAACACACGCGCTCGGCACAAACACCGCCTTTCACGGAATGATGCAATAAGCCTCTTTTAGCTGAAAATACTTTTCTGTGAGTTTGGTGTCGAGGCTGAAACTTTTCGGGAGCATCTAAGGATCAAGAGGCAGAGTGAGGTTAGGGCAGTTAGGCATGAAATACTGCTCATGTATTTTTTAATTTTTTTTTTTAGGATAAATAATCATAAAAGGTACATTCATTTTATTTTGATTTGCTCAGTGTGCAGGGCAATTCTTGCCTTGTTGCCAGTGCGGGGCGGTTCCTGCCTAGTATATCACCCTTGATTGCTGTTGGTGTCATAGACATGGCCATCGCACGATTGTCTGCATTACCAGACGGCACGTGATACGCTCTCACTCTTTTTGCCAGAGGCTGGGTCATAGTGAGGATTCTTCTGTTGATGTGAAAGCTCAGCTTCCACAAAGGAGAGTCGATTCGTCACGGTCCCATCAAAAGCTGCTGGAGTTTCATGCAGGTTCTTACTGCTGGTGTCGCCATGGAAATGGATGTGATGCAGCTCAGATTTTTTTTATAATGCTGTATTTGGGATTTTAGTAAGTAAATGCCGGAGTGAAACTTTCATGTTACGTCTTTGCCACCCTCTTCATGCCGCTGAGGAATTATGGGAAACGGAGGCCTGAAAAGCTGACATCATAGAGTGAAACGGATCGTTTATAGTAATCATAAAATCTTTTAAAGGAGTCAGAATGTTTTATTTGTTGCTGTGTAAGGGAGATTGCACAAGTACATTGAAATTTAGTCGCTGCCTCCCTAATGTATATGTATTTGTATGAATTACATATGTATTTCTTTTTGACCTGTTTAACTAGGTCTAAAATAAAATTAATTCATATTAAATGCCCACAGTTCTTGATTTTCCATGTATATGAAATGTGACGAGGTGCTGCATCGCCCCCTGCAGGTGTACCTGTGTCAACGCAGTGGGGCCCTCAGGGTTACTTCTACGCCATCCAGATCGCACAGTACGGCTTGAGCCACTACAGTAAGAACCTCACAGAGCGGCCGCCCCATGTGGAGCTGTACGACGCGGCGGAGGAGCGGGACGGCCCCCCCTCGGCCTGGACGGTGTCCCGGGGGTGCTCCCTCAGCCGTAGCTACGACAAGACCCGCGCCACCATGGTGCGGCAGTTCAGCGCCCCAGGTATCGGCCCCTCAGCCATGCATGCTGCTGCAGCTCACGACCAGCCTGAAGTCCAGCTCATGCTTCACTTTTCCGTTTGCGCTGTAGGACTGCAGACGGTCGTCCGCGCAGCAGCTTGTGTTCCTACTGCGTTTGGCTGTGGATGCTGGTGGTTCTGCATACAGCAGTGATACTTCATTCGACCAGGAGAGGGCAGGTTTATTGTTTGCAGCTCTAAATTTTAGTCCTCAGTGGTAGGTACAGGCATGACAACAAGAACTATTATTATTCTGGCGTTAATCGCTGATCTATGAAAGTCCACGCTGCCACCTACTGGAAATACCTAATGAATTGTCTCCCGCATGTGTGGTAGCGTAAGGTTTCCGCTAGACAAAAATCTGTGTTTACGCGCGCACCGAACGCAGCCGTCCGCAGCCCAAAGCTTACGTGGAAAAGTGAAGTATGAACTGGCCAAAAGGCTTCTTTGATTGGAGTCATTTAGTTGCTGGATCTACTACAGCTGCTTATTTGCTTGAGGCCACTTGATTGATGTTGTTGAACTGTTGACTGATGCCTGCGCCATCTTACTCAACTTTTCTCAGCCATTGTTCTGTCACATGAACTCTCCCTCTGCCACGTGGCCCTCAGTGGAGGCCGACGAGCGACGCTGGGATGACCATATCAGGCGTGTACGCGGGAATGATACTTTAAGCATGGCATCAGTGCACGTCTTGTCGTTAATGACGCGATGACGTGTTTTGACCCAGCAGATCGATATGCGTTAGTATCGGCACGCCGCTTCTTTAAGGCACCCATGAAATAACGGCTGTCACCACTGAAACCAGTGATCTCTATGGAGCAGGCTGATGGGAGGAGCCCCCCCCCCCCCGGTACCCTTTGTGTTGCTGACACGCCGTATGGAGGAGATGGCATCTCTTATGTATTCCCTGCTCATCCTTTATTGATGGCAGAGTAATCACATGACCACAGTACAAATCCACTTACTCCCGAGATTGCCTTAAGTAATGGATTTATGAGTGCATTAAGGAGTGCCAGGAAGAGGCCGCCAGAGCGGCTGCAGCTGCCGTGCTCGGATTCCCCCTTTTTACTTTGAAGGAATTGACCAAAAGCCTCCTTTTGTTTCATCCTTTCTGCTTCAGCTTGTGGTGACCAGACCCCAGCAGAGCGTTTAGCAGGAGTGAGAGGGCTGAATAGAACAGAACTTCTGTTCTGTTGAGTAGATGTTGCTTACGCCCCATGCGTTGTCCTCGGTGGGGTAGCGGATTAGGCGGGGGGGGGGTCAGGATTCGTTGGGGTGGGTTGCGTGAGCGCTCTGTCTGCCTGGAAGGTACAGGGGTGCCAGGTCGCAGGGTTCTCTTGGGCCGGTTTATGTAGAAATATTTCACACCGGAATTTGGGCCAAGAGCCCCAACCACCCCCCCCCCGCATCAGACAAACGGTTTCTGCTAATTAGCTGCAGTGAACAGTGACATGCCTAAACTGGCCTCCCTTCGGAGCTGGTTCATTCAAAGCCAGAGAGATTTACTGAGTCCTGGGAAAAGGTCTCTGTGAGGAGGAACAGTCAGTCCAGTCAAGCTGATCAAAAGAAGGTCAATTAATTAACTTTGCTGGCTTTTATTCTGTCATGCAGAGAATTCCGAGGGAATCTCTCTGCCTCTGGGGAACTCGAAAGACTTCATCATCTCCTTCGACCTCAAGTTCACATCCAACGGCAGCATCTCAGTGGTACTGGAGACCACAGAGAAGAACCCCCCGTTTGTCATCCACTATGTCACCAGCAGCCAGCTCATCACCTTCAAGGATCGGGACATCACCTACGGTCTGGGTCCACGGACAGCCTGGAGTACCGTCACCCGGGACCTGCTGACAGATCTGCGCAAGGGTGTGGGGCTCTCCAATACCAAGGCAGTGAAGGCCACCAAGATCCTGCCCCGCCGTGTGCTCCGGCTGGTGCTCCACGGACGAGGCTTCATTGACAACATCACCATCTCCACCACCGCCCACACCGCCGCCTTTTTCGCCGCCAGCGATTGGCTGGTGCGTAACCAGGACGACCGCGGCGGCTGGCCCATCATGGTCACGCGCAAACTGGGTGAAGGCTTCCGCCCACTAGAGCCCGGCTGGTACTCGGCCATGGCCCAGGGCCAGGCTATGTCCACGCTGGTGCGTGCCTACCTGCTCACCAAGGAGCCAGCGTACCTGAACGCAGCCCTGCGTGCCACCGGCCCCTACAAGCTGCCCTCGGAGCAGCACGGCGTTAAGGCCGTCTTCATGAACAAGTACGACTGGTACGAGGAATATCCCACTACACCCGGCTCCTTCGTCCTGAACGGCTTCATCTACTCGCTGATCGGCCTGTACGATCTGGCCGAGACGGCCGGCGACAAGCTGGGCCGCGAGGCCGGTGTACTCTTCAGCCGCGGTATGGAGTCCCTCAAGGCTATGCTGCCCCTCTACGACACGGGCTCCGGAACCATCTATGACCTGCGGCACTTCATGCTGGGCTCCGCCCCCAACCTGGCCCGCTGGGACTATCACACTACGCACATCAATCAGCTGCAGCTGCTTGCCTCCGTCGACAACTCGCCTGTCTTCAAGGACTTCGTCAAGCGCTGGAAGAGCTATCTGAAGGGAGGCAGGGCCAAGCACAACTAGAGCAGCCGACCAAAGCCCAGCTCCAGGACCCAGCACACCCCCCCCAGGGCGGGGGTAGGAGCAGGCGAGGTCAGGCAGAAACACGGCCCGCTTCAGTCGCCAGACCCGAGACGGCACTGACCGCCATCGCTGTCTTCGTTTGCTACCAAGGTGGCGAGTGGCCGGTCTCGTCTTCTCCGAGCTGGCAGTCATTAACGAACTACTAACACAGCTTCAGGGAGTATGTCTGTGTTGTGTGGAATGGAGCAGAAATTGTTTTCCTTACTTGACTCCTGAGCATTAGATCCTGATGTCTGCAGGACATTGAGGGGAAACTGGGTAAATCTGCAGAGAAATTGGAAAACCAGGTTCAGGCGGAATGGCGCTGAAGAGGGTTGGCATCCAGCCCTGTGACGGTCAAGCATTTCTTCCAGTATAGTTTATCCCTTTTCTTTTCTGTATTTTTTTTTTTTTTTGTTAAAATTGTTTCATCTGTCTCTGAAATTGGTGTCCAGTATGTTTGGGATGCTTAAACTGTCCAATGTAGAGCATAATGGGCGACAGGCGTGACATGGGTCGTCTGATACCTTCTCTAAACCCAAAGACACAAGTATAAAGAAATGACTTCACCTTAGGTCAGAATGTCAGAACACTTATTGCTGATGTCCTCATCAGCTGAACGCTCTGCTGTTGTCACGCCTGGGCTTGTGCCGATGGTGGCTGCCTACTTTCTACCCCCCTCCCCACTCAGGTATTTCACATGATGGGGGCGGGGCTTAGTTCTGTTGCACATTCAAATCACTCAAACCCAGATCTTCCTAAACAATCATCTTTGACTAAGGGGAAGAGCACCCATTTGTGTCTTCCCCTGTTCAAGAGAAGTCGCTAGAATGTCGGAGCTTGTCTTAAATTCCTCCTGAAGAAGTCCCTCCCCCCAACATCACGATCCACTTTGGCCACACCCACCCCACATCCCTACAAGCTCCGCCCACACCCTTCTCTCTGTGGTTGTTAGTTCTACTCAGCAGAGGCGTGATGGCCTGTTTGCTTGGGTGGTTGGCTGTGTTTTCTGCAGCATGGCGGCCCGGCCTTCGCCTAGACAGTCCTGCACAGTGCTGTAGCTCTGCGGTTCCGCATTTAAATTAGGACATTAGACGAAATAGCGACTCTGCTTCCTGAAATGGAATGCCGATCATCTTTCGGTATTCCCAGAGTGAGGAGATGTGAGGAGAGGATGAGAGCAATTATCTTAAATCGGAAAAATGCGTTGCTCTTCCCATGGGATCATTTAGCTTGTAATCCTCTAGGCTGGCAGGTGTTCCACGCATATCGCCGTGCACAACGTGACGGATCTCTTGCTTTGCACACCAGGGAAAATAAGGGAAAACATTAGTGTTGCAGATGAGTGAATTATTGTCCTCATATGTGTGTCCAAAGGGATGATTTTTAGAGCTTTCTGGAATGCTCCTTCATATATTACCTGCACTTTATGCCGGTTTGCGAAATGCTTACGTTTTATTGGGTGTTTCTGTCCCCCTTTGTTTTGCAGAGATGCATTGCAGAGCTCATGTGTGAGATTTCACAAGACAAAATCATGTTTTGTCTAAGTGGGCTGCTGATGCGTAGGTGTCATTATGCTTTACCAGAGCACAATGGGAAGGTCTGCGCCTGCTTAACAAGCACGCAGCCGGGAGGCCTGCGCCTGCTTAACAAGCGCGCAGCCGGGAGGCCTGCGCCTGCTTAACAAGCGCGCAGCCGGGAGGTCTGCGCCTGCTTAACAAGCGCGCAGCCGGCAGGTCCTTAGTCTGCAAAGGTTTCCTGGCACAGGGACCTGATTTGCAGGAAGAGTTAATGACAGTCTCTCTCTCTCTCTCTGCGCATAGGCTGCAAGTATGGGCTAAACCTAATTAATCGTTTGGCTGTTCTACTGACACATGCCGCAGTCCACTCCTGGAGGTACTGTTAATTCCTGTGGTTAATACACTTAAGACAATTAAACGCAGTCTTGCGCTGTGATTGGTTCCACAGATTCAACCAATCACATACGTGTGAAAGGCAGGCAGATATCAGTGACATCTTTTGCTATTTGCCAACCATCCCATTACCTTGGATGTAGGAGTTGAGGAAGCTCGCAGTCAGTGGCTGCATGTGTTTTAATGTTGTGTGACACTGAGTCTGAGGCATCTTGCACTGTAACCCCATATGTGGGGGTTACCTCTGACTCGGGAGTTTTCAATCCCAGATGACCTGTACAGTACAGAAATGCAACAGGAGCATCAGCTCTTTCCCCCAGTTCCTGTGTGCCCCGCCTGCCCACCTGCTGTGGTCTTCAGTCCAGGTGCCCAGCCAGACATGAGGTGACAGATGACACCCTGCGTCTCCCTCCGGACAGAGCCTGCCACATGTGCGCCGGGTGGTCGTGTCCAGCATCATCGTTTTCTCATTTTGCACTTGCCGCATCACCGAACTGAGAGCAGTAACTGGCTTCCAAAAGGGGGGGATGCTGTAGTCTCTGGTTTCGAACTGTACATAGAGCTCATGCGCTGTTCATACCAAAGTCTTTAAAGGGTTTTTCGGAAGAGCTTTCATTGGTTTTGCAGAGAGAATGAAACGCAGCTGCAATATAACTGTCTAGGACTGATCTCCATGAAGCCCTTGTTCTGTAAATGTAGAAATGGAGACGTCAATTTTGAGGACGATAATGAGGATTCTGAAGGTGGGCGAGTCGCTTTCCTTCAGAAGAATAGAAGCAAAACGGCCGGTCTGAGTTTTAATTGTTCAGATTCAGTTTCTATAGTGTAGTGCTTGAAATGCAATGAGCAGGAAAAAATATATTTTTTGCAGTCAAGGGGATGCGTGCAACTGTACAGCTAACGTTAGAAATCAGTGATGTTGTAAAAGGAAAGCAGGCTCTTTAAAAATAAAGAAATCTCAGTGAGTCGCTTTTTCCTTAAATTATGAAATCATTTGCTTAGGACAAGCTGTTTGTTGAAGTTAAGAGCACAAAAGCACAACTGTAGTGTCATTGGTTAATTTATCCTTTTCATTGTGTGCATTATTTCCCTGGACGATGTGCAAGGCCTTCCCTTGAAAGCTGCTATTGTTGTTCATGGTGTAATTGACAATTGTGTGGTACTCGTTACCCTCCCCTCCCACTATCCTGTAATCTGACATGTGCAGCTCGAGTCACATGTGACATATGCAATAACGTGTTTACTGTGTTTCCTGTTGCCAGGGACATCCAGAGAGGTTGTATAGACTTTCAATTGAAGCACAATGTGCACATGCTACCATTTTTTTAAATGCAGAAAGTGTTTATATTAAAAAAAAAATAGTCAATCTTTGTGCTCAGAATTGCTTTTTAAAGTTGTAAAATAAAAGGCATTTTTTCTTACACAAGTGTCTGGATCCTCTGTCCTCTGAGTGGTGACTGCAAACCTGCAGGGGGCGTCAGTGGGTGTGGCAGAATTTTTCAAAAGGCGCAAAACAGCATTTGGTTTTTGTTTTAGATTCTGCTTCTCTTCCACAGGACATGCCCCCTCCGTGCGATTGGCAGTCTTAAAGGGGCGGGGGGGGGGCTGTAAACGTGGTGGAGCGGCTCAGTGTGCATGGTCACGGGCTCCTCCTCTGTCCTCCTGTCCCCTTTAGCCTCATGATGTCGCCTCGGCCCTGACGGTCAGTCTGTCTGCCCCCTCTTAGACGGCCTGCCCCACCGGGTCTGGACCTTCTCCTCTTCTGCCTGTCTGGATGGCAGAGCGTTAGCGTGAGACATCAGAGCCCCATAGCACTGAGAGGATGGTGCCGGCAGTGCAGGGCCCCTGCCCTGTCTGCCCGGGATGATCCGATTACTGACGGCATGATCACAGTCACCAGGGTGAATCCTGCACGAGGAGAGCACCAGGGGATGGAGCGGCCGCCGAAAGTGGGTGGGTGGGTGGATGGCAGGGTGGGGGGGGCTTTGATTGGCGTTAAATACCGCTGCTGACCCAGTTTATGGGGCTGTGTGGAGAGCCTGTTAAACATGGGTGGCTTCTCCAGGCATTTAATTAGGCATCGTATCTGCTGTAATGCTGGAAAAGAAGGGCAGGGCTGCCTTAGAGCCAGACAGGGTTGTTTTTGGAAGTGAAACATCACTAACTGGCCTGACCCAGCAGCAGTTCCTGCAGATAGCAGCTTTTGCTTCCCTCTTCAAAGGTCAGAGGTCATCGCCATGGTGAGCAGAGGACACTTGCCGGATGCAGTTCCGTTAAGACCGTGCTACTCACATCTCACTGGTAACGCCTCAGAACTGTGCCGCCTGTCACCCCTCCTCCAGGTTACTGCCCCCAGGTTACTGATCAGGTAATCGTGTCTGCTCTGGGCTGGGGGCGATTGCATTGGTGTCCTGTCTTCGGGGGGTTTAGTGGCCTTGCCCCTTTTAGGTTCCCAGGTTCTCCTGCTCCTCTGCGAATGGGTCTGCCTTCTGCTTCATCTCATCCTGGAGCCACCCACCCAGTCAGTGGTGTGAGTTCCCCTGATTCCCTGTTTCCAGCAGTTTTGGGGCTGTTGGTCTCGGGGCAGAAGACCTGATGTGATAGAAGGACGGCCCAGGTCCAGGTGTTCTATAACATATGTTGTTTTGTGAAGGCTAATAAACATTTCAAATCGTAAGCACTGCGTCTGTCGTGACATCCATCGTTTTTCTTGAAACGACCGGAATTCTGTATGCCAGAGGTGCGTGGCTCACTGCTGAAGCCACTTCATGTCACAGATCTGAGGCTGGGCTGTTGTCATGTGACCCACTGGGCCCATGTTTCCTCTCCAGTCTGACAGTGGAAGCCGAGTTCTGCTGATGTGTGGATATTCAGTACTGAGTCGTAGTGATAACACTGCGGTCAGCTCAGAATATGATCAGCAAATGAAGTGTTTACAAATTCATGGCACAAGTGCTACATAATAAAGAACTGAATATAATAGGCCTTGCAATGCATGGCCAAAAATATGAGGACACCCCTTTTAATTAGAGGGACTGGCTAATTATCCCCGTCACTTACACAGGTGTGTAATTAAGCAAAGTCATGCAGTCTCCTGCAGCAAACATTAGTAGCAGAGTGAGATTCTGTACAGAAGATGACTTTCCACTTGGTCCCATCATATATCTTTCCACTGTCAGGTCTCGAAACTTCTAACTTGCTAGAGTGTCACTGGTAATCTGCCCATGAAGCGGAAACGTCTGTAAGTTCAGCGGTTAACTGGGAACCCCATAGCATTCCCTCCATACCCAACCTGATTGGCAGCAAACTCACCCATCTAATGGAGAGCCTTCCTGGGTGGTCAGAAGCTGTTATACAGCAAAGGCTGGAGCAGCTTCATGTTAATGTTCTTTTCAGAACGCTATGGTGGGCAAGCTGTCGATATACTTTTTGCCATAGAGTGTTTATGTGCAGAAAAAGTTAATCACCACAACACAATGGCTAATTCCACCGCTTATTTTTTTCTTTTAACCATTGCGCCATTTTTTTTAGTAAACTTTTTTTTTTTTTAAACTAGAATCGCTGTCTGGAGATTTAATAGGAATTCAAATGTAATTGGTAGATAGAATGTAGAACTGAAGTAGAAGAAGGTACTTCGATATTATTATTGGGAATTACATGTCCCCTTGGGCAGGATCTTACTGGTGTTCGTTGTGCTTCTGTGAAGTTCCTGGGTGTGAGCTTTGAGGGCTTCACTCCATCTAGTGTAGTTCACACTATTACAGGAACTTGTACAGGAACTTCATGCCGTTGAGCAGCATCGGCGACAGCGAGGACTGACTGGCTGCCATCTGGACCATAGACAATGATTCTGGAAACTCTGCTAATGAAGTCTGACTGGGACTCAAACACAGAAGCACATTTGCATACTGGGACAGAAAAAGTGACACTTTTGATAAGGAGGCTGACTAAACTTATTCTCATGAGAGGAGCGAACAGGCGCCCGTTTGCCTTTATGTGAGAGACAGGAGGGGGAGTGAAGAGAGAACAACGGGCTTGGCAGTTGTCATCTGTGATGACTATTTACGTGCACTTCTGTGCAACAGAAAGTCGTCTTGCAATCCAATGCATTAAAATAGACTGCCGTCAAAACTCCAGCGGCACTCAAGTTCGGGACTTAAGTCTGAATTAACAGCAGAGGTGACGTTTCATTACATCAAGGCTTCGATTTCCTTTTACACACTGCCATCCTGTGGTTAGTATAAGGAATGACAGATAGACGCTTACCTTCCATTTTACCTGAACTTGGTCTATAAGAGAGGGAGGGAAAGATCAATTCTCAACTGCCGATGTCGAGGACTATTGTAAAATGAGACCCAAAAACAATAATTAAAGTAAGTGATCTACAAAAATATCGATATTCCACAGCAGCCTTGCTTAAGGGTGCTATGACCCCCATGGAGCTCAATCACCCCCCCACACGTGTGGGTTACACACCTATTTACTTACTGCAGATCACCGCAAGGCGTTTTATGGTGATTATTGCATATAAACTGGCTCTCAGTCACCGTCAGAAATACCAGACTTCTCTTGGTCAGACTTCTGAAGGGAACCTCATTTTCCTTAATGACTAACTACTGGCGGTTACAGTAAAAGCGTAAAGAAACTTCATAAGCGGCCGCTGCTGTTGCCAAACCTTCACATATTTGCACTTGTATGAAAATGGGTACATATTTACTAATCTCACAGTATTTGAAGGAAAGGATACGATGACGCACAAGGCTTTGTTCTCTAACTGTATTTTGGTGCTGCAATAATGGCTATATAAGACACTACAGGAGGTAACTAAGATATTTAAGGCACTTTCAACACACTGTAAGATGTACCCTTACAAAATATTGGGCGCTTGTTTTTAAAAACACTGCTTTTGATTATGGAGATATAGTGTTTATATGTAACTGGTGTGCGTGTGTAGCTTTATGTGGAAAAGGTTATCTATTGACTTAGAAAAAGCAAACGAACGCAGAACTTATGGGAAGTCTCGGTACTCAGTCTAAGGTCAGTGTATACTGTATATGTGAGCAAGGACAAAGAACTAGACTAGGACATTTTTTTTTACTCTTAACCATGACGAGCTTGAAATTATTCGAAGAATAGAAAGAAACTGTAATTCGTAGAAACCAGTGTCCACTTGCCGTGCAGGTTTGTTAAAGAGCAACAACTAAAGCCACGTGCCAACATGAGCTTTTATCTAATAACGAGGAATCTAATGGAAATACATTTATGTAAATGGTAATTAAAGATGTCTGGTATCGATCGATCGTGTACTGAAGAAAGAAGGTTTTGTTTTCAGTAAGTTTCATTTCTTTTTCTTTAACCGGCACAAGTTAACGAAACGTGCGTGACGAAATGCAAGGATCACCTGTCAGTCATTGTGCGAAGGGAGGGTGAAGCGAGTGGAAAATGCTTCAAGAGAATAGTTCATGGTGCACCTGGAACCACTAAGAGGGCCGGGGCTGGCAGGAGCGCTTCCCTGCTCCCTTCTGCGGCGGAAACACGTGTAAGAGCGTTTTTCATTTTTTTCCCATAATTTAGAGACAGAGAGGATAGGTAAATTTATGCCGATATGTTACGCTGAAGTCAGGTACATGCATCCCTAAATGCAAATGGGTGTGGACGAGTACATCACAGAAACGTTTAGATATATGTATTTTCGGTTCTTTATAAAATACACTTTGTAATTCGTTAATATTGTTACCAATAGTACTTTTAAATGCTCGTTAATTTTCGATTAGTTGGTTTCAAGTAAATCTTATTTTACAGTAGTATAAATGTCACTTAATGCGATGACAGAAAACACTTTAATGTTGATGATTAGTGTTAATCATATGAATGTCAGTGTACACGTTGGTCCACCTGCTTTTCATAAACTTGCTGCACTTCCTGAAAGCCTCAGCGGTCAGCCGTGCTGAGAGGGGATATAGCCTGCTCCAACAAATGCGACAATAAAGAAGAAAGCTGGAAAAGTTCATTAAAGTGTACTTTAGAAACACATTTCACTAAATATAACTGCGCATGTTAAATCTGAGCCAGTTATATTCGTACACTTAAGTGTATTTAGTGTAAAATCAATGAACCAAGGTGTATTCGCCCATTCGGTTGGATTGCGCGATGCTGCGCCCTAAAGACGGAGGGATCCGGCGCCGGGCATGTTGGCAGTGTGTTGGGCTGCTGATTTATACAGAAATAGTTCTGTTTCGCGAATGCTGTGTTTCTGCTCTCAAGGCAAGTCCTGCTCGCCGTTTGCTGAGACGGAGACGGAGACGGAGAAAAGACTTAGCTACTCTGCCTCGTCAGACTGGTTTGACAGACTGTAATGAGTTGGCAGAAGAGAATCCAGTTTGTCTGCAGATACACGTTCTTCAGTTTCAGTACTATAGAAAAAATACATAACATTCATATTTTTCCGTTTTTCTTTTTTTTTTTATCACGCGCGTTTTACATTTAGAAGTGCCGCTTCTAGAGAATCCCCATTCCAGAGTCAACACCCATTTAAGGGTTCATGCCAACATGTAGGCCAGATGAGTCAGAAAAACTGCCTCTGGTATTGCAACTAAATCCTTAATACTTGCAAGCATTACTAGACAATCATGAGTACTTTCGCGTGTATTTGGGCAAACTCTTGCATTGCTAAGGCAACCGATCACCACCCCAGTATAGATCATAAAGAAAGCCAGCTGGCCCTGACCAGCAAAGTCACATTATAATAAAATAACATCCACGATTTCCATATTAAATGGGCCACATTCCCCTTTTGTGCTGAATTTTCTTAATAGAACTTCTTTAGTTTGACTGAACGCCGCTGTCCAGCGTCCCTGAGCAGACTGTGCGGCAGACACGCACCCCTAAAACCTCCAGAAATGTATTACGATGGTAAAGTGGAACAGACCTCCCAGATCGCACCACATTATTGTAAAATTGATGGAGGTGTTGTGCCAAAAAGTCATTGTCTGCCAGAAACTGATTACCATCCGCGGGAGCGCGCACAGCCTGTTCACGACGCATCGCACAGTTTCTATGTGACTGCAGCGGCTATTTTCGATATCAAATCGTCTTAAAGTGCAAAAACTATACAGTACATGTATCCCCGAGCTAATAGCGAAGGTATGTCTTTCTCATATTTAGGGGTTTGGTGAATTTTTAAATAAATAATTGTAATAAGAGTAAAAGGAAACCATTGTCATGTAAAACGCTTTAAAGCAGTCCTCGGTCGTAACTGTGTTGTAAAACTGTAACCTTATGTCATGAAGCCATGGAAGTTCAAATGCGACACATTAATGTAGATTTATGTTTATAAATGTTCCTACGTCTAAATGAGTTTCACTACACAGCCGATGTGAATCACTTATAAAGTAAAGACAATTTTTCATCTCGCAGTCATGAGTCGGTGGATTTTTCCTGCTCTGTGCTGCAGTATCAACCATCCAGTCCTTTCTACCACTTTAAACACCTCTATAGGACCAGTATAACCAGTACAATGCAGTTTACCCATTGCCAAAAAGTGATTAACCCCAATACCTTTTTACTGAATGGCTTTTTCTGTCTGACTTTAACTTTTTAGCACAAATGTATAAAAACATTTTAAACCATGTACTGTATCTTACCACTTTAAACAAGTATAATGCAACATCCCAACTAGTAAAGTGCTGTTTTCTACCTGACATAATACAGCTTATGTTTTGTCCCCAAGGAATTAATGTTTTAGATTAACTATACTTTAGTCTTGTGAGTTTTATTTATTATTAAATCTAAGGTCTCCCTTGATTAAAAATGACTACATGTAACACCTTGTTACTTAATATTTCGTTTATTCAGTGCAATTACTGTTTCTTAATAAGTTTAGGAGTGTTCTTATCTTCGATAAATGTGGTTGGACATAGGGTTTTCTTAATCTTTCCCCAAAACAACATAGATGTAGTTATTCTTCAATACTTAGTGCTAAAATAAAGAAAACAGATGCTTGCAAGACCAAAATATAAAAAAACTATATACATGCAAAAAGAACTACTATATGTACAAGACACCAGGGTGAAGAACAGATTTTACTGGCAGGCCTCACAAATGAACTGCTTTTTTCGAGGTTTTTTGGCCCAGCTCCTGTGGTTCCATATTGGACAAATGTCACAGCCAATCTGTATAGACAAAAGGAAGAATAAAAAATATTGACATAGTCACACAGCAGTTTTCATAATGGTTCATAATCACTCAACTGAACACCTGGATGTTTTCTAACTAAGTTACATTTACTGTGTAATTTCACAAGATTTTATTGTTTCTTGAAAAGCCATACTTTTAAGTGAAAACTCACATTTTTAAGTGTCTTAAAGCTTTTTTTTTTTTTTTTAGAGAAGGACATGTTAAACATAACCACTAACCCAATTAGTGTCACCAGCCTGCCCCCCACATAAATGACAGCCAGGTCTTATACAAAAAAAAGTGTATAACAACTTCAAGTTCACAATGATAAGCAATTTTTATATGACAAATACAATTTAGAATTGTAGAGTGAACGCAGTTACATGCATTTGCCTCCAACCGCTTTGCAAATAATTATGGTAAAAAATCCTATTAAGAAGTCTAAGCTGTATTCTGAAGAAGACGTACAGCAATCTGCTCTCTTGTGGCATTAATGCTTGAGGATGAATAATCAAATGACACTGGGCAACCAACCAAGATGCACTCAGCAAACTGTGAATAAATGGTACATTTTTAACCAAGTTGGGATTATTGTATGTGGTTGAAACATCTTTTACCTCATGTTGCAGAAAATGTTTTAGTCTTTTTTTGTTACCTTAACGTAACAAAGCTATAATGAGTGCCGAGTAACCCATAAGGGTTGCCCTTATTGGAGCATTTTAACTGTGCCTTTAACAATTACACAAATGGTCAGAATCTTTTAAAAGTGATGTTACATCAGAATCTTCCTCGGAAAATTGTTTGTTTGCAAAGCGTGTTTGGAATACAAGAAATTTGTGTTGGTCAGTTATTAGTAATAGTAATAATAAATGAATGGAGATTACAAAACACACAAAAAGTCATATAGACAATAGTCTTAAATATAGACAGTACAGAGGCATGCCCTGAGACTTGCAATGTAAAAAAGAGCAGATGAATTAATTTGTTGCAGTAGTAGTAGCATGTGTGGCGTATGTGTTATTGCTGGACCTGAGTCCTTGCTGTGGAAGGTAATAGAAGAGACATGATGTGAGGCCTGAAATGACCTTTAACTAATACTGTGCCATTTTGGGGTATAGAATGTGTCCTTTGTCACGCTCCTCATTCTCAACATGCACCCGGGTGACTCAATTGTTTCTTGCATTAAAATCCAATTCTTCTTCTTCATCTTGCTGTCATACATACCTTCGATACAAAGGCCCCACAGGAAGAGGCATCCTGTTGAAGTGGGTGAGGCCGTGTATCACATGCTCATCTCGATGGATTAAGCCCTCTGTGCCTCACAAATGAACTAAAATACAGATGGTACTCAGGTAGAGATCTATACTGATCACTGAATTGAAGTCAAAATAAATATTTATCTTTTTCTGTAAATCAAAGATGTTACACACAACTGTAATCACTTTTTGGCAATAGGAAAACTGCATTGTACTGGTTATACTGGTTCTATAGAGGTGTTTAAAGTGGTAGAAAGTACTGGATGGTTGATACTGCAGCACAGAGCAGGAAAAATCCACTGACTCTTTAATGTGACTGCGAGATGAAAAAATGTCTTTATTTGATAAGTGATCCACATCGGCTGTATAGTGAAACTCATTTAGACGTAGGGACATTTATAAACATAAATCTACATTAATGTGTCGCATTTGAACTTCCATGGCTTCATGACATAAGGTTACAGTTTTATAACGCAGTTACGACCGATGACTGCTTTAAAGCGTTTTACATGACAATGGTTTCCTTTTACTCTTATTACAATTATTTATTTAAAAATTCACCAAACCTTTAAATATGAGAAAGACATACCTTCGCTATTACCTCGGGGATACATGTACTGTATAGTTTTTGCACTTTAAAACGATTTGATATCGAAAATAGCTGCTGTAGTCGCATAGAAACTGCGATGCGTCTGGAACAGGCTGCGCGCGCTCCCGCGGATGGTGATCAGTTTCGGGCGGACAATCACTTTTTGGCACAACAGCCGTTAAACATTGATTCAATGTTGATATAATGTGAAACATTGAAGATCAACGTTGTTTCAGCCTTTTTGTCTGATATGGAATCGATGTCATTTCAACATATGTGTGCTATCCAGCTTCCAACAGGACTGTGTGGCACGCTTTAAAAACACAAGGCTGCCATTTATTTTCTTTGGGGGCAAATATGCTTAATCCCAACAATGGGTGATGTCATAGTTTTTAGGAGATGGTGGATTATAACTATCCAATAACCCCATCATCAGACGTGGATAGTTCAGGTCCAGACAGTGAAAATACAGACCAAAATGTTGTTTCAAACAACAACAACTAGTTCAGTGTGAGTCAC